TAGATGTCCCTGGTCTGGACTGCTGCATGGGCCATGTTGACATCCAAGGACTGCACAGAGTTGCCCCTGTCCCTCACTGGCCGCAGCACTTGGGAGAGTGGTCCCACTCCTTGGCATCTCAGCAGAACTGACCCTGTTGACAGGGGCATGGGTTAGGCAGTCCCAAAGGTGTAAGCATAGGAGAGCTAGCCCTTCTACTCATCTGCCACATGGTGGCATGGGCAGCGGAAAGATGCCTCTCCCCTCACACCTCAAACTTCGCTACCTGTGGCAGGCAGGAGACTTGGCCTCGGGGGCATGAGGGTGGGAGAGGTGGTCCTACCCCTACCAGCTGCAGCACTTGGGGGAGCAGGCCCTGCCCCTCACCTGGCCAGCGCAGTAGAGCTGGCCTTAAGAGTGTGAGAACAGAGAACTGGCCCTGCCCCTTGCTGCCTGCAGCACTGGGTGAGTTAGCTAGGGAAGTCCTGTAGAGCTCACCGTGGTAATAAGGATAAGGCTTAATAACTCAGCTACCATCCAGGTCTAGATCCAGGGCTATGAGTTAGCCCATCCCAACATCCACCTCATCTATAAACTATTGGAGCACGGGAAAGGGTCAGTCCTTCAAAAACAAAGCTACAGGATCTATGTGACACAGGGCAACAACAGGAGATCCAAGAAGAGTCCCAGTGAGGACCCAGTAGCAGAGGCCAGGGGCCTGGAACCAGACCAATAACTCATTGCAATGAACATTTGCAATAAAAGATGTGAGGACTAAAAAGAAGTAAAGGAAGGCAGGAAGGCAGGAATGCAGGAAGGAAGGAAAGAAGGAAGGAAGGGAAAGTGCTTAAAGTAAAAGATGTATCAACTATCCTGACCATATAACTATACACTGTATACATGTATTAAATGATATACTGTACTCCATAAATATGTATAATTATTAAGTCAAATGTGTGTGTGCTCTCAAACTTTCTAAATTGTTCAATGAAGACCTTTGACTTCAACATCTTAAATCTCAGCTCCTATATGCCTTCCTATCTCAGTTGTTGAATGGCTTTGAAAAATAAAGCTATAGCAGAGCCTTTGATAGCTCAGTCTATAGACTGGAGGGCCATAGTGGACAGAGTATGAAGATCAAATCAAGGGTTGGTGAGATGGCTCAGTGCTTAAGAACACTAGATACCCTTCAAGAGGACTGGGTTCTATTTCCAGCACCCACTTAGTGGCTTATAACCATGTGTAACTTTAGTTCCAAAGGATCCAATACCCTTTTTCTGGCCTCTGCAATCACCAAGACACAAACCTGGTACACAGATGTACATACAGAAAAAATTATCTATACACATAAAATAACAAAAATAAAAAAATAAAAAAATAATTCTTAACTATTTTCAAAGGGTAAAATAAAATCATTCCTCTCTAACATGACTTACCCTCAGAACTATGTTCACCTCTCAAATCAGGTAATATTACTGCCGAGATGCTATAGCAAGACAAAATAAGATGAAAGCATGGTGAACATGAATCCATTTGCAAATCAATTAAATCATCAAACTGTTCTTTTGAAAAAACAAGATAAACTGGCTAGAGATATGACTGCATCGGCAAAGTGCTTGCCTCCCATGAACAAAGTCCTGGGTTCAATCCCCAGTACCAAATAAATGGAACAAGATAGCACCCACCTGTAACCCCAGTACTTGGAAGATGAAGGAAGTTAGTCAGAAGCGCAAAGTCATGCTCAGCTACATAGCAAGTTCCAGTCCAGTCTGGGTATATAAGACACTGTACCAGTCGGTAAATGAGCAAGGAAGCGCCAGATGCTGGAGGGAGGGCTCGGAGGTTAAAAGTACTCGCTGCTCTTGTAGAAGGCCCCAGATTTAGTTCCCAGCGCCCACTGGTTTCTCACAATCATTTGTAGCTCCAGTTCCACATGTCCCCAAGCTCTTCTGACCTCTGGGGACTAGGCACACGTGCAGTGCAGTGCATGCATACAGGCTCATTCATACAAAATTAAAAATAACTCAACTAGTCAATCAACAAATCTTCATAATTGCATGTTCAGACTAACTTTCAAGTTGGATCACATCAGGCTTATTTGATGAAGCATGACTTTCTTGACATAACTTTTGAGCTTCTTGTGAACTCTCCTGTGTTCCCTGAGCAGGTGATTGTGGGGAAAGTTTAAGCTTTGGGTTATACCCCATCTCGTCTGCTTATTAGCTCTGTACTCTGTCTCTGGGCCAGAGGCTCCTCACCCACTGAGCAAGGCCTTGTTTTCAAGTCCTCCTAGAACACGGGAGATCTAGTGTGGAGCTCTATCCCACACTTGTGTTTAGGGATGGTGCTGACGAATGTTTTCAATGGTAAAATGGTTGCATTGTGTGAAACCATGCTGTTCAAGTTTTTCTATTGAGTTGTTCCAGGAAGTAATATTCAAAAAGGAAATCTGAAATCTAGAATCAAAAAGGTTTTCATGTTTTTGTTATCGCTGTCACTTAAAGACTTGTGTTCAAAGAATCAAACTTTAGAGAAAGCTGAATTACCAACTCTTTGTTGTGGCAGCATCAAGCTGGAAATGACCATGTGTCCCTGCTTGGTGAAGCTCACCTCATCCCCTCCAGAGTATACTGGGTGGCCTTTTAAAGAACAGGGCACCCTCTCCCAAAGAGTGGATAAAGAAAATGTGATACATGTACACAATGGAGTATTACTCAGCTGTAAAAAAAAAATGACATCAGAAAATTTGCAGGTTGGAACCAGAAAAAAATCATCCTGAGTGAGGTAACCCAGACCCAGAAAGACAAACATGGTATGTACTCACTCATAAGTGAATATTATAAGTAATATTCACATCCCTAGAGAGGCAAGATAACAAGGAGGGCACAAAGAGGGATTCATGGATTTCTCTGGGAAAGGGAAATAGAAGAAATCTCCTTGGTAAACTGGAGACAGGGACATGGGGTATCGGAATATGGGAACATGAGGATTCGGGTTGGGGAGGTTGGGGACAGGATAAAGGGGGAGAGTAATGAAAGAGATGTCTTGACAGGGTGGGGGCATTTCAGGGTTAGGGAGAAACCTGGTGCCAGAGAAACTGTAGTGATATATTATTTCCGATCTAATAAAGCTTATCTGAAGATCAGAATGTAAAGCTAACCACACCCATAGAAGCTGGACAATGGGGGCACACATCTTTAATCCTAGAATGTAGGAGACAAAGACAGATATATCTCTGTGAGTTCAAGGCCACCCAGGGCTACATGAGAGTGAATCAGTCTAAAAGAGAGACAGAGCTCATGCGGAAGTGATCTCAGCACTTTAATCTCAGCACTAGAGAGGTACATAAGACAGGAGCAGGGTCTCAGAGCTGGAATTCAGTCTTAGGCAATTAGTCTCCAGCCACCTTGAGGACAGGATCTCCCCAGCCTTGGTAGATGTAAGAGCTCTCTGGTGGCTTGACTGCTTTGCTTTTCTGATTTTCAGCTTGAACCCCAATGTCTATCTCTGGGTTTTTAAGATTTGTGCTACAGGAAATGCCTAGGAATCCACAAGGATGACCCCAGCTAAGGCTTCTAGCAATAGTGGAGAGGGTGCCTGAACTGGCATTCTCCTGTTGTCAGATTGGTGAGTACCCTAATTGTCATCAGAAAACCTTCATGCAGTAAATGTAGAGATCTACAGCCAAGTGCTGACTCTGGAGTCCTGCTCAAGAGAGGGAGGGGGGATTGTACAATCTAGGGGGTCAACATCATGACATGGGAACCCACAGAGACAGCTGACCTGAGCTTATGAGAGCTCACAGACTCTGGGCCAACATCTAGGGAGCCTGTATGGGACAGACCCAGGTCCTCTGCCTGTATGTGACAGTTGTATAGCTTGGTCTGTTTGTGGGGTTCCTAGCAGTGGGATCAGGATCTGTTCCTGGTGCTTAAACTGGCTTTGGGAACCTATTCCCTGTGCTGGGTGCTTGCCCAGCCTTGATGCAGGGGGAGGAGCTTGCTCCTGCCTCAACTTGATGTGCAATGCTTTGTTACCTCCCATGAGAGGCCTGCCCCTTTCTGAACAGAGAAGGAAGAGGAAGAGTGAATGAATAGGGCAAAGGGAAGGGGGAGGGGGAAACTGTGATCCCAATGTAAAATAAATAAAAATTTTTAATTAATAACCAAAACAAAACAGGCCAGGGCAGGCAGTGGTAGCGCAGGCCTTTAATCCCAGCACTCGGGAGGCAGAGGCAGGCGGATCTCTGTGAGTACAAGGCCAGCCTGGTCTACAGAGTGAGTTCCAGGGCAGCCAGGACTACACAGAGAAACCCTGTCCAGAGAAAAGAGGAGGAGGAAGAGGAGGAGGAGAAAGATGGGGAGGGAGGGGGAAGGGGGAGGACAAGGAGGAGCAGGGCTGGTGCATATGGACTGGCAAGGAAAACATCTCCAATGTTCAGCATTTATGCAGGGAATATGATGTGTATTTTATAAAATACCCCCCCTTGGTGAATGTGTGTACACAAAGATTCAGAGTAGGGGCATTAAGACAAGGAATTCCTCAGCTGACACATGAGAGGTGCTCTACAGAGGAAGGGTGGGGTTAAAAGACGTTTTTACTTCTCATTTTATAACACTGAATACTATTGGATTTCACTTTAAATAAAGGCAAAATCCAAAAGTTCTCTTGAAACTTGTTTCGTTTTTGTTTTTGAGACAGGGTCTCACCATGTAATCCTGTCTGGGCTGGAATTCACTACACAGACCTGGCTGGCCTCCAAATCACAGAACTTTGCCTGCCAGAATTAAAGGCATGAACCAACACACCCAGCTTCTAGAAACTCTTTTAGAACAAGCTCTAAGGCGGGTGGTGATGGCACTCTGGAGGCAGAGGCAAGAGGATCTCTGAGAATTCGAGGCCAGCGTGGTCTACAAAGCAACAAAGAGAAACCCTGGCTTGGAAAAAAAAAAAAGAACAAGCTCTCTATTTTTTGAGTCCATTCTTTTTTTTTATTTATTTAAATTAGAAACAAGCTTGCTTCTCATGTTAATGCCAGCTCCCTCTACCACCCCTCCTCCCCAAGCTCTATAATTTTGTGGGTTTTTAAAAAAACCCAAGTGAGGCTAATTTGAGCCTATTCCTTGATTAAAAACAACAAAATTGATCAATGTCTTCCACGGCGATGCCTCAGAGTTATATCTTCCTTACCTGTTATGCCAGTGGAGCCTACACTTAGGGTTGGATCAGTGTCTCCAAGGTGCTAAAGATCCTAGTGATAGGACAAAGAGGAGGCTTGGGTTTCTTTTCAGACAAACCACAACAGCAAACTCCAGCACAGCAACGACTCCCAGAATCTGAATGCATTTGAGCAGGAAGGACTTAAAGCATTGCTGCCTGCCTTTCATCCTACAGAGAAGAAGTCTGGAACCCATGGGATACAAAAGGAACAAACAACTCATTACCAGTGTGAGACTCCTTCTGGATCTAAGACAATCCCCACCATGTAACTGTCTTTCTACAACAGGGTAAAGCCACATTGACCTGTTCCTTCTCTAAGGTGGGTGTAATGATGCATGCTAAGAATTGTAGAGACAGGAGGTCAAGGTCGTCTTTGGCTGTATATCAAGTTGGAAACCAGCCTAGACAACATGAGAGCTCATCTTATTAATAAATTAACCAATTTTAAAAGCCTTCCTAACAACAGGAATGACTCAAGTTAGACTTACTAGAGTGAAGAAACAAAGACTACCCATAAGAAGAGTTAACCACAGATGCAGAGGAAGTCAGGCCACGGAGTACTTTAGCTGACCCTAGACTTGATGATTTATGGAGATAAGAGTAAAAACTGAGGATAGAGTAAAGAACTGGGAATGGATAGAATTTGAAAAGCAAGACGGGTGTACACCAACTGATAAAAGGAAAGGCAAGCAGTGATCTCTTCTGTCACCTTTGGGATCTACTGAGCTCACCTTGGTAATGGACTTCTCTACTAGCACACGTTTGAGCCTGCTAGCAACCACGATGCCTGCGGTGGGAGATGAACATTTTGTGGTGATACGTAGCTTGTGCTAATAAAGTCAGTAGAAAAGGTCAGAGAACGGAGCTTGCCATTAGCTAACCATAGAGGCCTGGAGGTCTACAGACAGGCAGGAAGTGAGCTAGTTGGACACAAACAGGTTATAAACAGGGAGAAACAGGAACTCGCTCTCTTGTCTGCTGAGATGCTAAGGAGGTAGGTGTGGCTGCAGCTTGCTCCTTCTCTCTGGGGTCTCAGCATTTTCCTCTATATCTGACTCCAAGTTTTTAGTTCTTAGACCAATTAAGAGCTCCATTTACACATTTCCCCCTAAGTTGACTGTCTGAAGGACAAAGCCCTCACTTCAACACTCCCCATGCACTTCTGTAGTTTTTGTGGAAGCCTTAATAAAAAGCAGCCATAGGGGTTGGCATGGCAGTGCAAGCCTCCAATCCCAACACAGAAGATATTGACCCTGGCCTATACATGAAGGCTCTACAGCAAGTAAACAAATAGGCATTGTAAGTGTCCCTGCCTTTGTGATCAAGAATATTTGCACCACATATGGTAACATCTTCTCTTGTGGCTCTTGCTTTTAGGTCTAGGAAAGATAGTTTTCTGAATTTTTACACAGTGAGATCCTTCAGCTATTGAAGCACAGCACCTTCTTTCTCTCTTGTTTGCCATTTCTTACATTTCTACTAAAGGTAAGTTTTGCAAAGCATTACTATGTCCAAGGGATGAGCCCCGTTGTTATTTTAGGTCGTTGCTGTTGACATTTTGTAGATGAGAAAACCGAGCGGGAGATGTACAAGGCCTCCCAGAGAGTTGGATTAGCAGTGTGAGTCTGAGTGTAAGTAGGCCCCTGTGCCCTCCACTTGACAACATAAACCCCTGTTGCCCTTATCTCTCATTATCCCTTCCTCTTTGCTCTCTCACACAGTCACTGTACCTGTTCCCAGAAGCCTCTGCTTCCTTCAGGTCTGCGGTTTCTCCACTGTTGTGGTCAAACACCGATACTCTTTAAAGTACAGAACAGAGAAGAAACTGTCCCTCTATTCCTCTATCCACAGGATTGCACGTTTCTTCCAACAAAGCGTACAGCCCCATCCCCCAGTTCCAGGCAGTATGGCCAGCTAGACAGCTCTGTCCCTGCCTGCCTGCCTCTTTCTACTTCCATTTCTAAGGGCTTGATATAAAGTCTGTGCTGGACAAGCTCCAAACTAGCTGGGCGCCGCTCTTTGGGCTACATTACTGTTGTGAGAGAAAAAGAAAGAATAAACTGAAGAGAAGCAAGAAGAGATTTGGGCAAGCATGGTGGTGACAAGCAGAGACCTGTGCTGGTGGTGTGGGGAGACACTCTTTTGTCCTCTCCTCATAAACACCGTCAGACACCAGCTACCCTGAGCATTACACAAGCCAAGTAAAACAGTGCGCTTGGCTCCTAGTTTGCTTTCTGCTGCTGCTGTGATAACCTCCACGACCAGCAGCAACCTGGGGAGAAAAGGGTTTATTTCAGCTTACAGGTTAGAGTCCAGCAGTGGGGGAGGCCAAGGCAGGAACTCAAGGCAGAAGCTTGAAGCCAAAACTACGGAGGAACACTGTTTAGTGCGCATTCTCTCAATCTCTCTCTCTGCGTGTGTGTGTGTGTGTGTGTGTGTGTGTGTGTGTGTGTGTAGTTTATGCTCAGCTAACTTTCTTATACAGATGAGACACTCACATGCCTAGGAATTGTACTACCTCTGGTAGTCTGAGCCCTCTTACAGCAATTAGTAAACAAAATGTTTCTCCACTCATGTGCCCACAGGCCAGGCCTCAACTGAGCTTCCCTCTTTCCAGGTGACTCGTGGTTATGTCAGGTTGAAAATAAACACTAATCAGGACAAGTGCTATCAGATTCAGTTTTTAGGCAACCCTTTTATTCATCCTTCAAAACATTGCCACCCCTAAGCCTCTCCTAAATAAAAATTCTAAAACCAATACTTGAGTCTGCTGGTTGTCCCTGGATTTCTAGCCAGGGTCCACTGTAAGGACTCAGAAGACTGAAGCAAGATTTTGGTGAGTTTGGAGCTAACCTGAGCTACATAATGAGTTCCAGGACAACCTAGACTACATCTGTCTTAGTCAAAGTTCTGTTGCTGTGAAGAGACCATGATCATGACAGCTCTTATAAAGGAAAACATTTAATTGGGACTGGAAAACTTCAGACGTTCAGCCCATCATCATCATGGCAGGAAGCATGACAGCACACAGGCAAACACTGTGCTGGAGAAAGAGCCAAGAGCTCTCCACCTGTATCCGCAGACACCAGGAAGAGAGAGACATTGGTCCTGGCTTGAGTTTCTAAAACCTCCAAGCCCATCCCTGGTGACACGCTTCCTCCAACAAGGCCACATCCATTCCACCAAGGCCAAACCTCCTAACAGTGTCTTTCCCTGATGACCAAGCATTCAATCTATAAGTCTGTCCCGCGCTACCGTCTCGCCAGCAAGAACGACGCAGAACACTCGGATCCTTCTGCAGTAAAGCTTTAATGCATCTTGAGAGATAGATGATCAGCTTCTTAGAGGGAGACCCCAAGCTAAGAAACCCAGCCCCTTATATAAGCCTAGGAGCTCCGAGTGAGATGTGTAGAGCCGGGATTGGTGGTTTGCACATCACCCCAGATGACGTCACGGGAGAGGCACAGTTTAAACGGTTAACTCCAACTGACAGCGACAGTTAACTCTAACTGACAGCGACAGTTAACTCCAACTGACAGCGACAGTTAACTCCAACTGACAGCGACAGTTAACTCCAACTGACAGCGACAGTTAACTCCAACTGACAGCGACAGTTAACTCCAACTGACAGTGGATGTCAGCGCCATCTTCTAACGGCAATAGCGATAGCGAGGGCGGCTCCTCACATCTCCCCCTATTCATTTATTTTTGAAGCAATAGGACACCCACAACTTTGGAGTGGAGATAGAGGTCAAATCCCCATGTGCAAATTCGGAACATGTACAAAGCTCCTCTCCAGGGTCTTATCCCCAGAGGAAGTCCTGACCAGTCCGATGTCTTTTTTCTGGGGGAAGGAGATCATGACATAGAACCTTCATGCAAGATGACTTATCTCCCAGGAGAAAGTCGTTATACCGCAGACCTCTCCTGTGCAGTGCTTAGCCTTGCAACTCCTTGGGCTGCTGAAGCCTACCCACTCTATCCCGTGCAATGAGACTAGCCTCGTGGGGTGCAAGAGCTGGGAGGCCAGCGACCTATTGCTTTAACATGGTTAACCAAATGTCAGGGGATGCTCCGTGTTCTAAGGCAGCAAGTGCTTGTGCCACCACCACTTTCTCCTTTTGTTTGGGCTCTGAGCGTACACACCATCCAAAGCATCAACACTATTCCACAGCAGAGAACTAGGCTAAATGATCCTACCCCCACCCATTCCTTAAAATAAGAAAATGCAGATGAAATCCAGGGGAGAGGTCTTCCATCAGAGAAAGATCCAGATGCGTCGAATTCACTTGCAGGATCGCCATTCTCAACTCACGGAGTGTCTGCTCAAACTCAAAAGTCCAATTCTGTAATAAATGTTGAGACAGAGCTTTTGACAGGTTAGCTGCTCTTGTAAAATTCTCATATTGTACTAAGTGACACAAAGGCCAGGCAACTTTGTTCACATCCCAATTTGGCCATCTGCCACAATATATCCAATTGTTCCTGAACCAAATTAATCTGTTGGTTTACCAACATCAGGCCTCCTTGTATCTGAGAATTGGCAGTGGCCTGTTTATCTAGGACCATGGTCACAGTGGCCTATAGTTCATTAATGGTTTGAGTTGTCTGCACAGTGGCAGAAAGTGCAAGGGCCGAGGCGGTAACCGAAGCAGTAACCGCGGCGGTGGCTATCAGGCCCACAATAATAGCAGAGATCCCAAAAATCTCGCTTTTCCCTAAACAAACTCAAATTACTTGGCGCCTCAACAGGAGCTGGAATAAATCGAGGCATGCGCATTACCAAAGCAAAAGGGTGCTTAATAGCATCCCAGCATAATGCATAAAAACAATTCTAAGCAGAACAATTTATTTCTTTCTGATTCTTACCTAAGGTATCATTACTCACAACCCAAATAAAGGGCAGCTGAATAATTAGTTCTCTTAAAAGGGGTATACTTAACATTGGAGGAGGACCAATCAGATGATCCATAGCTCTGTCCCTCACTCAGACTGTTGCCTAATGCCCCTTTCCAATCAAAAGTAATCTGTCCCTTCTCACTATCATAGGAGAAAGATCAGTACAGCTTCCATTAATTCAAAAGGATTAGCATTAGATCTTTCTGGATCCATATGAATAAAATTATCCTTTAATGAAGAAATCACAGTAAAGCACAAGCTTCCTACTAATGACAAGGTTCTCTCATCCTGAAAACTCTGTATCTGAGGATCTAAAGGCAAAAAGGCAAGCCCCAACTCTCTATTATTTGTGAAAAATCTAGGGAACACCTGGGCATTCTGCATCACTGGCATCGGTAGGGGAAGGTAGACATGATGGCCCACCGTAACTCTCCCATCATACTAGGAACCATCATCCCGAGTAGGAGAGTCTTCATCACCCACTTGGCCTCCATCCTTCTTATTCTGGAGTTGTGAAGGAGCTCTTCGAGTGAGTCTTTCAGGGATCCACAGGGGGTTTTCTTCCTCCTGTGGAAAAACACACACAGCTCCCCTGGATCTTATAAGAATAGGATCCGGGCCTTTCCAGAGATCAGTCAAGACATCTTTCCATTTTACCATTTCTTTTGGCCTATCAGGCTCTAAACTGTGGCGATCGGCCGCAGTGTGGCCTTGGGCATCAGAGTTCAAGAAATTAAGGGTAAAAAGTGCCATGGATACAGCAACTCTTGGTACCGAGGGTAGAACATCCTCAATACTCCCCTTTTGTTTAATCAGATATGATTTGAGTGTACGATGGGCACGTTCCACAATGCCCTGTCCTTGAGGGTTATAAGGTAGGCCAGTTAGATGGGTAACATCCATTTGCCGACAAAACTGTCGGAATTTTTGAGAGGTATATGCTGGTCCATTGTCTGTTTTTAAAATTCTGGGTTTTCCCCAAGCACTCCAGGCCTCAAGGCAATGTTGAATCACATATGAGGCCTTTTCCCCTGTTAGGGGTGTGGCAAACATTACGCCAGAACAGGTGTCAACAGAAACATGAACATATTGAAGCCTTCCAAAAGAGGGAATATGAGTAACATCCATCTGCCACATCTGCAATGGTCTAATGCCACGTGGGTTTATTCCCATGTGGGGAGTAGGTAAGAATTCGCAGCAATTCTGGCATTGAGTAACAATTTCCCTAGCCTCTTTCCTGGATAGAGCAAAACGACGGCGCAAGGTCTCAGCCGTCACATGAAAGCGCTTATGGAATTCTTTTGCTGCTTGTGCATGGGTAGACAAGGCAGCTTGTATCTTCTGAAAGATGTTAGCAACTCTGCTGGAGGATCTTATTATTCCAGCTATCTCAAGGAGATTAACTGCATTAACCACATAAGAGGAATCTGATACAATATTGAGGGGTCCTGGAAAAGCCTCAAGAACCTCCAGTACTATCAGACATTCTACAACTTGAGGTGAAGTTTCATTATATTGTTTAGATATAACCCTATCCTTGACCACATAAGCTCCCATACCAGTTTTTGATCCATCAGTGTACACCA